TTTTCAGTTTGGGTAATATGTTCACATTCTATCTAAAAAATATATAGCATAAAATATAAAAAAATAAAAACATTATTTCTATGCTTTAATTCATGTTGACATATTTTATAAAGTGTTAGATCTGTATCGTATCAACACTTTGTTCTTTTTAAGATCTTCTAATTCAATTGTCTTGTTGGTAAATTGATTGGATTTTTGCCAATGAGTTACCAAAGAAAAAAAAAAAGAAAGAAAGCTTATTCGTTCTTTTTTTTTCCCTCTTGATTATTATATGTAACTCTGTTATGTTACTATGTCTAAATTAGTCCTTATTCATTTTCTATCTTTAATTCGTTTTATTCGGATTGCTCCTATAATACCCTTGTTTATGTGTTGAGTTTGTTGTCTATTCACTTTGAATTGCACTTAGCTCTATAACATAGCTTATCTCACATCCCAATTTTTTTTGGAGTGTGATTTGTGTGTGCTCAATTGTGAGGGTGAGTTTGTAAGGGAGTAATACATTGATCCGAGTGTTGAGTGCTAAACACGAGTGAACTACATTTACGAGTGAACACACCTGAAGGAGCGCTTGTGAGGTCCTTTTTTTTTTCTTTTAACTTTCTTTTGTAGCATGGAAAATCCAGACGAAAATTCTAACATTACTGATGCACGATTGAGAGAAGCACAAAAAAGAACCATGGAAAGACTAATTCGAGGAATAGAAGAGTTGACCGAGCGAATAGACAAATTGGAGATTCAAAATCAAGCTCGAGAGAGGATTCCACTACCTGCCCAATCTACTGATCAATATGAGGAAGACAATTCTTATCAACACGAGGATAATCCACATGCGGTTGGTCATGGCTTGATGCGAGGGAGAGGCTGTGTAAAAAGGTATCATAATTTACCACAACGAGTTCCATATGACGATAGAATTGATCGTAACATGGAGAGCATCAAATTAAAACTTTCCAAGTTTTATGGCAAAATAGATCTAGAAGAGTACATTGAATAGGAGAGAACGGTGGAGTTGGTGTTCAACTGTCATAATTTTAGTGATGAAAAGAAGGTACTGTTACGCATTGCTTAATTCAAGCAATATGCTCAAAGGTGAGATAAATTGATGACAAGTAGGAGAAGAAATCTTGAAGTACCAATTGATTCATGATATGAGTTCAAAGAGTCCATGCGGAAGCATTTTGTTCCACGAGACATGGCACATAATCTTCAAGCATTGAAACAAGGACGCAAATCTGTAGAGGATTATTACAAGAAGATGGATACATTGATGGATCGACTTGACCTCGATGAGGACATGGAGACTCTCATGGCTCAATTTCTTAATGGGTTAAACACAGAGATTGCAGACAAGACTGATTTATAGCCTTATTCTGATATCGAGGAGTTGTTGCACATTGCAATTAAGATGGAGAGGCAAATCCAACGAACGTCTCAATGGAATTCTTCTAAAACTTATTCCAATTCTATTTCTAAATCTTAAAAGGATAGTAAGAACAATGATTATAAGCATAGAAATCAAGAGATTAATGAGAAGCCTCAAGCTAAATTTGAGAAAGGTGAGAGTTTGGAAAGTAAAAGTAGAAAAGTCTAATGTTCGAAATAGGGATTTAAAGGGTTGGAGATGTCAAGGGGTAGACAATATATAGAGATTGTCAAAATGCAAGAATTATGACCATCAAGGAGAGAGAAATTGTTACAGATGACGATGACGAGGCACATGATGTCATAAATGAGGAAAATGATGGGAGTGAGGAGTTTAGTGAAGAGGACCCTACATATATATCTATGGTTACTCGACGAGCTCTAAACACCCACATTAAGGAGGACGGCCTAGACCAACGAGAGAACTTATTTCAAACTCGGTGTCTTGTTCAATCAGTATCTTGTAGTATTGTCATTAATAGCGGTAGTTGCACCAATGTTGTGAGATCTATTCTGGTCAAAAGTCTAATTTAAAGACTCATCCACACCCAAGACCCTACAAGCTTCAATGGTTGAGTGATCGTGGGGAAGTACGTGTAACTCAACAAGCTCTTGTTTCTTTTACTATTAGAAAATATGTTGATGATGTTCTATGTGATGTTGTATCCATGCATGTTGAATTTACTACTGGGGAGGCCTTGGCAATTTGAGCATCGGCTAATGTATGATGGGTATGCAAATCGATATTCTTTTACTCACAATGGTCTAAAAACTATTTTTGTTCTATTGTCTCCAAAAGATGTATTTATTGATCATTGCAAACTTGAAAAGAAAAGGAAAGAGGCTGATTCAAAAGCAGAGATTTAAAAAGAATCAAGTGAAAAAAGAGCTGGAGTGAAAAACAAGAGTAGCACCCAGCCTAGAGAAAAAAAAAAAAAAAAAAGTCAATTCTGTAAGCTTGTATGTTAGATCAAGTGAGGCTAGGAATGTTTTGCTCTCTAACCGGACAATTCTTGTACTTATGTGCTAGGAGTCTTGTTACTTTACTAACACGCTGAATCCTTCTTTGCCTAGTGATTTTGTTGTGCTTTTGCAAGAGTTTGAAGATTTCTTTTCCAAGGAGATGCCTCGTAGTTTTCCACCACTTAGAGGGATTGAACACAAGATTGACTTCATTCTTAGCGCGCCCATTCCAAACCGACCAATAGGACTAATCCAAAGGAGGCCGAAGAGATACAGAGGCAAGTAAGTGAATGCAGAGGCAAGTAAGTGAACTCCTTGCTAAAGGGTATGTACGTGAATGTTTGAGTCCTTGTTCTATTCCAGTTATTCTTGTAGCTAAGAAAGATGGTTCTTGGCGTATGTGTGTTGATTGTAGGGTTATAAACAAGATAACTATAAAGTATAGGCATCCAATTCCTAGATTATATGATATGCTTGATCAGTTGCATGGATGTTGTCTTTTTACTAAGATTAATTTAAAATCGAGTTATCATCAAATTTGCATACATATTGGGGATGAGTAGAAAACAGCTTTTAAAACCAAGTATGGTCTTTATTAGTGGTTGGTTATGACTTTTGGATTAACTAATGCACCTAGTACATTCATGAGACTAATGAACCATCTCTTACGAGCATACTAAGGTAAGTTTGTAGTTGTTTATTTTGATGACAACCTTGTTTAGTCTAAATCTTTAGATGATCATATTACCCATGTACGCAATGTTTTGACTACTTTAAGAAACGAATGTTTGTATGTAAATTTAAAGAAATGTAGCTTTTGCATGAAAAAAGTTAACTTTCTTGGGTTTGTAGTTTCATCTAATGGTGTTGAGGTTGATGAGGAAAAAGTGAAGGCTATAAAAGATTGGCCTACACCTCAAAGTGTAAGTGAGGTAAGAAGTTTTCATGGTCTTGCAAGTTTCTACCGTAGGTTCATTAAGAATTTTAGTACAATTGCTTCATCCTTGAATGAATTTGTTAAGAAAAATGTATCCTTTATAGATGAAAAAGATCAAGAACTTGCTTTTAACACTTTGAAAGAAAAATTGAGTTCTACTCCTTTGTTTGCATTACTTAATTTTGAGTTAACTTTTGAAATTAAATTTTGAGTAGGGATAGGTGGTGTATTAATGCAAAATAAAAAACCTTTAATGTTCTTTAATGAGAAGTTGACTGGTGCATCTTTGAGGTATCCAACTTATGACAAAGAGCTTTATGCTTTTGTTCGTGCATTGCAAACATGGCAACATTATCTTTGGCCTAAGGTGTTCGTTATTCATACAGATCATGAAAGTTTAAAACATTTGAGAGCACAAAACAAACTCAATATATGACATGCTAAGTGGTTGGAATTTATTGAAACATTCCCTTACGTCATCAAATATAAACAAGGTGAGGAGAATATTGTTGCAGACGCTTTATCATGAAGGTATGTCCTCCTCAATACTTTGAATGCTAAGTTGTTGGGTTTTGAACACATAAAGGAGTTGTATCAACATGACATGTTCTTTGCTCCTTTTATTGAATCTTGTGAAAAATGACTCATTGTGGATAATTACTTTTTGTTAGATGAATTTTTGTTCCGGAAAGGCAAACTTTGCATACCATCTTGTTCCATACGTGAGCTACTTGTGAGGGAAGCTCATGGAGGTGGTTTAATGGCACACCATGGAGTTTCTAAAACTTATGATATGCTCTCTGAACTTTTTTTTTTTGGCCTAAAATGAGTCATGATGTTAATCAAGTTTGTGCTCGTTGCATAGCATGGAAACAAGCTAAGTCTAGGCTTCAACCACATGGTGATACTCCCCATTACCTATTACCTGTTCCTAATAATCCTTGGATTGATATATCAATGGATTTTGTTTTAGGTTTACCTAGCACTAGGAAAGGATATGATAGCATCTTTGTGTGGTTGATCGATTTAGTAAAATGGCTCATTTTATTCCTTGTCCCAAAATTGATGATGCAAAACATAGTGCTAACTTGTTCTTTAGAGAAGTTGTACGATTGTATGACATTCCTAAAAGCATTGTTAGTGATCGTGATGTAAAATTTTTAAGCCATTTTTGGCGTGTTTTATGGGGTAAGTTAGGAACTAAGCTAGTATATTCAATTACTTGTCATCCTCAAACGCATGGACAAACTGAAGTTGTTAAAAGAACCATGACTACTCTGGTTAGGGCTATTATTGATAAGAATCTTAAGAGTTGAGAATTGTTTGCCATTTATAGAATTTGCATATAATATGGTTGTTCATAGCACTACTAAATGCACACTTTTTGAAATTGTTTATGGCTTTAATTCCTTAACCCCCATTGACTGGTTACCTATGCCGTCAAAAGAGTTTGTGAATTTCGATGCAAATGTCAAGGTTGAGTTTGTTCATAAACTGCAGAAGAAAGTAAAAGAACAAATTGAGAAGCAAAATTCCAAGGTTGCCACCCGAATCATTAAAGGATGTAAGATTGTCATCTTCAAGCCAAGAGATTGGGCTTGGGTGCATTTCAAGAAAGAAAGATTTTCTACTCCAAGAAAATCTATGTTTTTACCATGAGGAGATGGACCTTTTCAATTTCTTGAGCGTATCAACAACAATGCTTATAAAATTGATTTACCAGGTAAGTATGGTGTTAGTGCAACTTTTAAGGTTGTTGATTTGAGTTCTTTTGATGTAAATGATGGCTAGGATTTGAGGACGAATCCTTCTCAAGACGGGGAGAATGATACGAACCACGACCAAGAAATTTTCATACCTTAAGTTCCAATTACAAGACGAGAGCAAGCTACAACAAGCCTTGTACACTTATATTCAAGCGATGGTGAGCTCATCAAAGAAAATTCTGGAAGACGTTGGAGACCTCCCTTATATGTTGTACAAAGTTGAGCTTCAAAAAAGAGATGCACTAAATGCACTTTAAGTTGCATTTAATGAACTCAGTTGTATTTATGGAACTAATAATTCAGGAACTAATAAGCACATTTAATTCATATATTGTAACCCACCAATTTAATAGGGAGGTTATGGGTATTTCTCATTTAGTTGGGGTATTTCTCATCTACTTGCCAATTTAATTTAGTGATTCGAATTACAAGTTTAGAAACGAGGTTTCATACTTTTCCTTCGGAAGATTTCTTATTATCATTTGATAAACTAATTATGCTTTTGACCTAAAACGATAGTAGATATTATCCATCTTGGCTCGCCTCTGACCTCACCCACGCCCTCTTATGAGGACCAAAACCTGAGTTTGATGCCTTAGACCACTCAGCCATTCTAACTACTTATTGTGTAATCCCGCATTGGTTTGAGAGGGTATGAAGCATTCCTTATATGGATGTGTAAACTGTGAGACTGATGTCAATACCTAATGGGCCAAAATGGACAATGTCTACTAGTAGTGCGCTTGGACTATTACAAATGATATCAGAACTAGTCACTAGGCGATGTGCCAGTGAGGATGCTTGGTTCTCAGAAGGGTTGGATAAGTAGATCACACGTCGATTGGAGAGGTGAAGAAACATTTCTTNTCTTGAGTAAGCTTCTTGTAGTGTTTATTATGATGCAATTTTTTTGGTAGACTACACCGTCTTGTTGTAGAGTGTATAGAGCAGTGAGTTGACATTTGATACCTTCCTCCTTGCAAAAATTTGAGAAGCTATGGGATAAGAACTTGTCATCTCGGTTAGTGCACAAGGTTCTCAACTTGTGATCATACCCATTTTCNGTAACGAACGAAACCATTCAATATCAACTAGTGGTGGACTTGGATTGTAATAAATGATTGGCTGGAATAGCTCAGTTGGTTAGAGCGTGTGGCTGTTAACCACAAGGTCGAAAGTCGTCAAGCCCTTTTTCTAGCGATAGGAATGAAGCAGGGAGAGGAAGGAAGAAGCTTGAGCTGGTCAGCTAGTGATAGTGACATGACCAGTGACGTTGATGATCATAAGAGCACCAATGGGATAATTTATTTTCTCTCAGGTGGCATGATCTGCTGACAATCAACTAAACAGAAGGTAGTTTCTCTGTGTTCTGCTGAAGCAGAGTACATTGCCGCTTCGACAGCGACCACATAAGGGGTCTGGCTTACGCAGCTGGTGGAGGAGCTGATCACAAGAGAAGGCGATCCACCAATACTGTACGTGGACAACAAGGCTACAATCTCTCTGATCAAAAACCCAGTTTTGCATGACCGGAGCAAGCACATAGAGATCAGATTTCAGTACATCAGGGNCCATGTCTACGACCACGCCCATGACCATTGTTTTTCTTGTTATGGCTACCACATCCCCTCGTACTAGAAAAAGAAGATCAACCACATCACATATGTGAGTAAGAGGTGTTTCTTCTCCTTTTTGTCTTTATAACCAAAAATTGTCTCCTCATGGACCTTAAGACGAACAAAAACCTCCTCAACTAACATGTTCTTAAGGTAGCCGAACTGCGCGATGGAGGTAACAATTTACATGAATCTTAGGGGAATAGCTCGAAGGAACTTCTTGACTACAGAGATCGATCGATAAGATAAGGAACTTCTTGGAGGTAATAAATTATATCCCTATAAGATGAGATGTTTTCTATCTATAAAAAAATAGAAGATAGATTGTATGTCAAATAGCGACTCTATGTACCAAATATTAACATATTGATACACATTCAATTTTTATTCAATTTTTGTTCGAACAACGTGAAAAAAAAAATTGAGGCAAGAACCATACTCTTATTTGTTGTATTCAGTTCATAATATTTATTTAGGTTAGACTAAAAAACTATTTTTTATATTCAAAACCCATTAGAAGGAAGGGACCATAGAAATCCTATAGAAATGTTAGTCTTGAAGGCCCTAAAAATGTTATGAGCTGTTTTTGTGTAACAACTTGATAGCACGGGATATAACATGCACCTAGGGCACGTCCTAGCACAAGAAACTCTTTTGATACAAATATGTATATTATACATTAACAATGTTTACTATTAAAGTTTAACTATTAAGCCACAAGTTCCTATAGTTCGTATAGTTTCTAAACAAGATTACCCACACGTTCTATGAAGGAATAGAGTGCTGAAAATGCTTAGAAACTATTCCCCCAATCCAATCCTCCATTAAAGAGCTTCAAGGAAAACTTAAAATTCCAATCTANTGCGTCCCCCTCTTCTTCCAGAGGAATGAACTCTGTAACAGTTCGCTTGTTATCGCCAATGCTGCACCAATCCCACTTCTTCTCTTCTTATATTACGACATCTCTACTTCCATAAATTTTCTCATGTTACGGATCATATATCTCGTGTGCCTTGGTTCCATCCTCTACGCCAAAGTACACCATCTTTTGGCTTTTGNTGAGCTCAAATCGAGGGTAAGTTTCGAATTCCTATCTATAGTCCCTTTTTCTTCAAATTAAGGATTCCTTTAGCTTCAGAGGAAGAAGTTGAGTAACTTTGATGAAGGAATCGAGAGTTGAAACGTCGTAGAACAATCTACCCAAGAGATTGATTTTTTTTGCATTTCAGCTAACTAGCGGACTGAGGACGATTCTCCTAAATTGAGGACACACACTCAACTTCGTTCCTCCAAACCATTTCATGTTACTTAAGGAAAGAATAAGGAAAAGGTNTCTTTTGGCTTTTGTTATCAAGCTTTTTTATATATGGTTTTGCAGTCTTAACATATGTTGTACAACCAAAGAATCTTAGGTACTCAAAGTGAGGTGTCTTGTCGAACCATGCTTCGGAGGGAATGTAAATGTCCAGTGCCTTTGTCGGTAAACGATTTAGAAGATAAATCGCATGTTGCCTCGCCCCAGAAAATCGTCAGGACTTGCATGTTCTTGAGTAAGCTTCTTGTAGTGTTTATTATGATGCAATTTTTTTGGTAGACTACACCGTCTTGTTGTAGAGTGTATAGAGCAGTGAGTTGACATTTGATACCTTCCTCCTTGCAAAA